CTCAAGGGCGCGCCACGGGAAACTTACTACAACGGGTCCATACATGCGTGCATTTTAACATGCAGTTTGAATAGAAAGTGACGCATGATGGCACCACAAGCTTTTGTGAAGGCAGCATAATGATTGGAAATGGGTTGGATAATTTCTTTGCTGTAATAAAGCTGTATGTGTATACTTCTGTGTATGTGTGGCTGTAAAAATACTAATGAACATAATACTAATCATTTTACATTGTATGTTGTGTTCTCCTCATTCCTACTGTTCTGTAACTTGTGATGCAACACTGAAATTCCCATGCTACGACAAATAAAGGATCTCCTAATCTCAATGTCTTACAAAATGCCACATATTGTGCAGCGACTTGGTTTTGGGGAATGGGGTTAGGCGGAACTACAGTGACAAAACTTCATCCCAACCCTTTTGGTCTGTAAAATAGGCTCTTATTCATTGTTTTTGCTGTTGATTATTTTTAATGCTGACTAATGAGCAATCAAACTGAACCAAACATTCTAAATATTTGTTTCATATTAGGTGCAATTGTATGTAATCCACAATCATCGGAAATATGTGACTTGTCTTGCTCAGGGCAAAATGGGAATAGTGACGCTTGAAAACTTTGAGTATCCTTGCATATTCACTCATAAAAAAATAAAAAATAAATAAAATGTCCTTGCCTTTAGGGTGTAGTTGTAGATAACTGTTGTGATCTAGGGCTACACAAAAAATTGAATTGAATTGATTTACTTGCCTTGTCCAACTATCAAAATTCTGACAGTGCCGAACCAACCATTCAACGTTACTTTTTAGCTATAGTGATGACAAACATATATTTCATGGGGATATTTTTTGTGTAAAACTTTCCAACAGACAAACTTAACAATTGTTCTGGTCTTCATTATCTCATTTCTATTCTGGCTTGTAATTTTAACGCAATAACAAGAGCAATTCAATATGGGATTCTCAATATCACAAAAGAAAACCGTAATCACTCCAGCTGCATCGCAATATCCAACAGTGTTATCACATTTTTCTAATATTGTAACAGGCGAACCGTCAGTGACACTTGACTGCACATCCTGACAGAGCCACCCTATACGACCATCGCAGAAGCATCACCGCCCACTCATCTACGGCAGCGCAAATAATGAAAAATTGCATTAATAATGTATGCAGAGGTGATATGGGACTTGCCCTTTCTGCTGATGCCACTGTTTTTATAAGATCCTCCCATCTGTTGAGTGGGTCTCTGGGGTAAAAGGGGCCAATCAAGATCTCCACGACACATCTGCCTCCTTATCCACATTAACACTCTCTCTATAACCTGTTATTTTCTCCTTACTCTATTGTCTCCTGCTTCAGCTCCATGGGGGATTGCACACTCTTGTCCACCAATTGAGGTCAAGAAGGACAAAAAAACCGCTCCCTTCCCGTTCTCGCCCTCCCACGTATTCGGCTGCTCAAAACCATGCTCTCTGCAGTCTCTTGGAGTTGCTATAAAGTGCTCTACAACTCTCAGTTGCTGCTATTGCCGTAACTGCTACCATTACAGCTTAAGCTTCTTAGAGGCAGAGGTCAAACAGTAGAAGGGCAACGGTCAAGCAGTGCAAGTCTTCTGTCTTCTAAAATGATGTATTATTTGTATCTATGGCTTGCTTGTTTGTAGGATTTTCAACAATAATGGCTTGAATTGAATGCACAAAGAACAATTCAAACTCACCCCATACTCTTGTGTGTGTTTCTAATAGAAATGTCAGAATTTACATACTATTTGTAACTATGCACGACAATGCAAATAGTCTTATCTATGTCAAATATGAACATGTTTATTAGCACTATGTTAATTCTGTTAATTTGTTATTGTGTTCAGTAGATTGGCGTGGAGTGTAAACATGCGTTAGACATCACTCAGAATAGATTTAATTATTTGCATTCCCAATTATCACTATTTTTCATTAGGAATTGATTGAGCAATTGTTGTGGCATTATTAACTCTAAGGTACTGAAGTTTTGGTTTGTTTTTGTTTCAGAAATGTATGAAACAGACAAAAGATCAAGCTCTGGACAATCTTAAGAAACAGTCTTTATGTGTCCTCTTTGCATCTTTGCTATAACCTGGTACAATGCATCTTTTCTTTATGTTAATGTTTAATGGTGCACTGTCGCTGTGCAAATAAAGTACATACGATACCCTACCTTATGTCTGACTATATAACACAAAAAAATAAAATATACATATGTAAGCAAAATGGGTTTAGTTAAAGGTTGCTGTAGAGAAGGTGTCATCTACAATTTCTGCTACTCTGGCACCTAAAGGGTTGAATCTCTCTAGACTAGAGGAACACAGTCTTCCTTGTTTGACACACCATCTGTGTATTATTTTATGTATAGCAGTGTTTCCCACAGGTTTGAAGGCAATGTGTGGTGGTCGTCGGCGGGGGGGGGGGTCGGCCGGCAAAAATTAACAATGACATCGTTAATTGGTCAAATACAGCTTTATTGGACTGATCAAAATATCAAACATTATTCACACGCTGTATAAACACTATATTACACTATAAATACTGTTAACGCTGTATAAACCTACTTGTTGCAAAGTTTGCATGTTTTATCAGAGCACCTGATTTTTCGGGGCTGGCGAAAAAAAGATTTTAATGCCATATCATAAGGGAAGTCCTCAGGACAGGGTCCATTGATGGAGATCCTCAAGCAAGCTGCCAGGTGTTCTCCTTGCAGTTTGTTCCTGAGGTCTGTTTTCACCTGGAGATAAAGCAAAATGATAAATTATTATCAATGCAAAATGCACCAATATAAAGACAATGGGAATTTTTTATTGCTATTACAATAATAATATAATTACACTGCGGACTGTTTCAGACCGATACCTCTGGTTCAGGCTGATCCTCATCCTCAACGCGTGTCTTTTTCAATCGCGGAAAATATTGTTCAATACTCATCTGGATTGAAGCAGCAAACATTCAGTGTAAGAGTAAAAAAATGACATAACGTTACTTATAACTTTATTTCTTGCTACAGCTGCTACATAGTGTTTTGACCCCGACAACCCAACTACATACCGCAAACTTGCGACTAATTAACTTTATAAAGAAAGCGTCATCGCTTGTTAAGGGAGTCGGGACGGAAATTCAACATTGACACTGAACATTCAGCACTTTTTAATGTGTGATTTACGAGATCACGGGATACCAACCTTTAGTGAACTTCACCAGCCGTCTTCTCTGCACCAAAATTAATAGACACAGCTGCTTACAGCGATGATCGCTGATGGAGACGGAGACACGCGGTGTGCACGAAGGGGAGGGGCTGTGTGTGTGTAGGTCTCTGTATGTGGGAGAGACGCGTAGCTTGAGTGAGAGTTACGAAGGGCCGCCACATTTTAAACCCCCCTCCCCGCTGTCAAATTGACCGCTGCGGTGGCACTAGACGATGCATGTTTTAAATAGCGTAACAAAAAAAATATATATATAATAATACGAAACGCAATTTGTGGCGGGCGGTCTCTAATCTGTGGCGGTGCGCCACAGATTAGTCTATGTGTGGGAAACACTGTATAGAAACTGCCACAATACAATGTTAAAATAGGACAAAAACGCTTTACATTGTGTCATTCCTACAATACACCCCTCAACAAAATCCCCAGTTCCTGCGCTATACACGAGTTGGTAAAAAGTCTCCGCTGCATCTGTAAGTAAAACTATCTCTGTTTCGGGCTTTGGATCAGTAAGAAACACTGTGTACCCCCGCTGGCTTTGTTTAGATTGTCCCCCGACTGATACCTGCTCCGGGAAACAGCTCCATAAACAATATTTTATGTATCTTGGTATGAGTCTGACTGGCTGTTTACTATGCAGCGCTGAGGCCTGAACTCAGTGTGAGTCTGCCACACTGCTCCGACAATGACAACGCTCTGAGAATATGCATGTGTAATATAACTGGCCCTTAGCTTGACTATTTTGTTGCAAGGGCTGGCGAACGAATACAGATTTAGAACGCTTTGTACATTGGGTGTCAGGCCATGTCTGCGCTCTCCAACTTCTCAGTGGGCTCGTGATTTCAGGTCAAACAGCAGACGTACGTGGAGCAGTGGGGAAGAAGGTGGCGGTGCTCTTACAGCGATACATCGAGAGGAAAACTTTGCGTGTACATGTTTCGCGTCTGAAAATCACCAATTATGTTTCATTGGTCAAAAGCTTGTTCATGAAGTTCACCCACAGATGATCACAATCATATAGATTTTGTTGCAAAGATCATAGCAGGAAATTAGTCTTATTATTAATGATTGTAATGCCTTGTATGACTGTCTCTATGTTGTTTTGCTCAGCACTTTGGGTTGACCTGTGTATGAATTGTGCTATACAAATAAACTTGTCTTACCTTGCCTTCCTAGCCTATAAAATACTCTGGACACCTTTGACTAACTGACATTGTTGATGCAGGTTTGTCGGATTGGAAAAGCTGGTCGGTATCAATTCACTCTCTAACTTCTCTGCCTATATTTAAAAAAAAAATCTTGTTCAATATCTCCAGAATCTACAGTATGTCAGTGCTTTTGAGCATAAGTTATGAACTTGAATATTTCTGTTAATACCAGCCTGTAATACCTGTAAATTGCAGCAACAGTCAATGTGTGTGTTTGTGTGAGCATGTGAGTGTGTGTGTTTTGTCTCATGTGTTTGTCTTGTTCTCTACGAATTATGTAATTATTTATTGGCTGCTTCTCTGTCTTGCTATATCTGTTATTTGGTGCAATTTTGAGGACCCCTAAGAAAATGAGTCATTTCATCTTGGAGGGTTTAACGTCCAAACAAATAAATAAATAAAGTTTCCAGTTTGAGAAAAAAAAAAGAAAAAACTTAGCCAATGTAATAGACCATAGTCCTTAAGCATAATTCCACAAGTTCATTAAGTGAAGCTAATCCAGCGTAGCCCTTGCTCCTCATCCCAGCACATATTATAAAATCCCGTTTTTTTTGTTCACTCACCGATGAAGTAGGACAGTAGGATGGCCAGGAGGGCGGCTGCTGCTATGGCCGACACCGCGGCACATTTCCAGCTGCAGTATTTGGAGGGTTTCTTTAGTTTGAACGCCGAACGGGAAAAGGTGTTTCGGGGTAACAGGCGAGGGGGCGGCGAGTACACTGTCCCAGAAGTCAGAGGATAACCGGGGGACGAACTGCTGAAGAGCGGCGTGGTCCCTGATGAAGTCTTGAACAAGAAGTGCCTGCAGTGAGACGACATGGATACATGAGTAAAGTCAACGATAACACATGATAGCACCAGGGACATACAGTAGATTCAAAGACTGACAGGCAGATAGATTGATACAGAGATAAAACTTTCTTTTTACCACGCATACAGTATCTCCATTGCTTTGCTTGGAATATTTCATGTCACTTCACATCTCCCTCTCCATGGAGACCAGGACTGTGTGCGTTTCAAGATATTTTAGCAATAAAAACACATCAATCAGATGCGTGAATATATCCTTAACATATAAGATAGAGCACTGCATATCTCCATGACGACACAGCAGTGGTTTACTTTGCATCCAAAACATTACTCAGTGAGCCGAGGAAAAAACATACATATCCGGAAGGTAAACTTAAAGCGTGAACCACAACATAACAGTATATATACAGTGTTTGTTTATGACAGTACTGACGTTCTGATGTGTCAATCAAATAAGATAAGATAAGATAGACTTTATTGATCTCACACAGGAGAAATATACAAGTCACATCTGGCATGTGACTGGCAAATGTACAAACATGTTAAATGCAGGATATATTATGTACAATAAAAAGTGGCAATCAAAAAAAACTGTCGATAGTAGTGCAGGTTTTTTTCAGTCCTAATGCAAGTGACTTAAAGTGACTTATTGTACAGTCTGACAGCGGTGGGGATAAAGGCCCAATACATGTGCCAAATGTTGTTTAAGATTCAAGATTAAATGCAATACTAAGCTAATAAGTGCAATTTGAACTTATTTCATAATATTCATCATTTCTGCTTTTGAGAACACCATTTGATGATCATAAATTTCTTGAATAAAAAAAAAACATCTATCATCCATTTTTCATTATATACAGTCGCACACCTCTATTTGATTTATTATCAGCAATTGGACACACACTTTCCAATTAACCATAAATCTGCCACTGCCCAGACTGAGGACTGAACCAACAAGAAAAGAACAACTTGGGAAATCATCAGAGGTTATGATATAAGTTGATGTTTCGAAATAAGTCCCCAGAAAAACTCAGAGCGAAGGTAAACATTAAAAGGACACTCCAATCTGCCACCCAATCAGTCCAGACGACAAGGTCACATATGGGCAAGACTCGCTCCAATTTCTCTTTCCGATGGACCCTTCCTGCCATATGGGTTTGAACATTCTTCAACTGATTGTGTCTGCAATTCGTTCCAGTCCAAGGCCGCTTTTAACCTCCACCTGGTCTAGCTACCTTTTCTATATATATATAAAAAAACTGTATTTCTATTCCTTCTCTCCACATTCACTCGCCATTTCTGAAGCTGATGGCGTTGAGGGATGTCTGCCGTGCACTCTTCCTGTCCTCACTTGGCCACTGGGGTCAGAGCTCAGAAAAGGGGATAAAAGGGGGATTTGAACCATCATCCCATGCTGGTAATACCCATTATGCTTTGCTCTTGTGCACCTGCTCACCCTACAAGTCTCTTCCACCCCTGGCCTCAGCACTTCCTTCATTTTCCCATTTGCTTCCATTCTTTCCTCTGTCATGCTTCCCCATCCCTCAATGTTGGAATTATACTGCTGAGTGTTTTTGAAAGAATATTTTGTTCTGGTCTATTCTCTGTTTGTTTCTTTGTCATCACAACTATCACAATCCTTTTTTACAGCAGTACATTTTCCCACTTTGCATCATTATTTTGCCAGTGTCTTACACAAACTATAATTATCATGAAAAGCAAAGCAAAGCAATTGTATATTTGAAAATGTGTAAGCTGGAACGATTTGCTGGCAACTTATTCAAAAACAATTGGTGCAAACAGTTGCTTTCGTTTTTGGACAGAGGATAAATATGGAAAATCTCTTGAGAGGTCCAACGCAATTTGATTTGCTAGACAACACATGAAGGAAGTAAAAAAAGCAGAAAAACATATCGCAAAATCTTGTTCCAAATTTATCAGAGATTTACATAAAATCATGTAAACATTTATCCATAAAACAATAGCGCTTCAATTTGATGTTTGCAGACATTTGACCATGGGGAGAACTGTTTTTGGTGAAGCTAAACCTTTTGTTGCGTTCTCAGGTAATTGAATAGTAGAGAAAAACGACTTAAATAAGATAATAAATCATATCTGGATTTAATACACATATCTTTTGTATGTGCCACTGCTTATCTCATTATGCAAAGTGGGAGTCTCCTGATCCCAATACACAAGTGGAAATTATTAGTTTGAGCAGCATTCCAGAGCATTTTGTCAGTCACAGAAAGGAATAAATCCCGCTAAAACCAAAGATCATGCTTTGAATTAAAGCTGGGGTACCTATATTTCAGGCCACACACACACGTAATACCAAATTCCTAGTTCCTATAGCTAGTTCCTTTTCACACACATGCATTTTTTGCCTCAGTCACGTCATTCTTACACCAACAATCCGACTGTAGACCTTGTAAAACTACTTCTAACAAAGTAGATAAAAAATGAAAAATACCAAATCTTTTAAAAAAACTTTCCAAGGACACAACAAGACAGAGAATTAACTTGTGTTGCTCTTTCTGGCAAGATGCTGGGAGGAGGTGTGTGGCCTCCCTCCCTACTCCAGGTGGTCGCACAGAAGAGGGCCCTGAGGTGAAACAGGCTGCGGTCACTCCTCGCTCCCTTCATTGTCTCACAAACCATAGAGACATTTCAGCTTCAAGTCTTTGTCCGAGGAGCTGCCTTTTTTATTTTTTGCAAGTGGCGCGAGTGAAACAGCCCCAGGAAGAAGGATGTTTGGGGCTGTTTGTGACCTTGAGAATTTGGGGAAGTTCAAATTCAAGAATGTTTCAATTTTGTGTGGTACTGTAGCACAATAGAAGCGGTTGAAGGTTTGAGTGAGGGACTTGAGAATGTGAAATAAAACATTCAGTGGTCAAACAGACAGACGGAAACATTTCCAGTATAGACCCAAAACATAGTATCATAAAAAATAAAATTGCTTACGTGAAAAGGACTTTAATTATTATAGTTAGTAAGTAAGTAAGTAAGTAAGTTTTTATTTATATACCGCCTTTTCACTGCAGATCTGAGTCTCAAAGCGGTTTACAATTGTTAATTTTGGGCATTTGTCTCTCACTCCACACAGAGATGGGAGCGGGGTCAGTACAGGAGGCGCATGCTAGAACTATTGGACATATTTTTAGTGGTAGGGGAAACCGGAGTACCCGGAGGAAACCTACGCAGACACGGGGAGAACATGCAAACTCCACTCAGAAAGGCCCTGGTCCGACCGGGATTCGAACCCAGGACCTTCTTGCTGAGAGGCCAGAGTGCTATCCACTCAGCCACCGTGCCGCCTAGTTCTGCAATATTAATTTGAACTATTTTAAGGGCTTGTTTACAGACTATTTGGTGTGAAATGAAGGCAGATTTTTTTGAATGTATGACAAACAACTGCAACAATAGTGGTTGGGCGTGGAGTGGATAGCACGCTCGCCTCTTAGCAAGAAGGTTCTGGTTTCGAATCCCGGTCGGAACAGGGCCTTTCTTGCAGTTTGCATCGGAGTTTGCACTGGAGTTTCCTCCGGGTACTCCGGTTTCCCCTGCCACTAAAACCATGTGCAATAGTTCAGGGTGAATGAGTGTGTGTTTGTGAGTGCAAATATGGGACAACGGATGGAAACTAACCCATGGCTACAATCCGGAGTGATGTGTTCATTAACATGTACTGTCCTAAACCAAATGAACAATAGAAAGGTGTAGGGTCAGTCTGGGGCAGGTCTTGTGTGTGTGTGTGTAAGTGTGTGTGTGGTAGAGTAATGTATATTACTGTATGTACTGCACAGCATCGTAATTGCATTCTGAAAGTTAATTAATTGTGTGTATTCTGTGTATTATCAGTCTTTAATGGGCGAGTGGGGATTGGGAAAAAAATCCAACCCCTTTAAAATTCTTTATTAGTGTGAAGATATGGGAAGTGCAGTCACTTTCTCTTTATTATGCTATAGTCAGAGTTTTTGTACCTATCATGCTAAAGCTAGAGATTTTATACCAGTTTCTTTCTGATGCTGGAGTTAGAGATTTAATTTAATTTAGCATAGAGTTATAATATTATATTATAAATTTACCCACCGTGGGACAAAAAAATGATCTCTAAGGCACCTTTCACATGTTGACATGAAACTGAACTCTATCTTTCTAGAATATCACATCTAAATTGATAATAGTCTAGTTTTGTTTAATTCCTTTCATAATATAACTAAAATTTTAAATCAACCTTATTTTTAATCCTGCTTTAACATATGTAAACAAACATTTTTATTTCCCAGCACAAACTCCTTAATGTATAGCTGTTAATCTTAGCATTCACATTACCACCGAACAAATATTGTGAGTCATACAAACAACTACATCTTCAAAGGCTCATTAATTTCTTCAAATGTTTGCTCCTGAGTTGTAAAGAACGTCATTTGTGAGCCATATGCTATCTTTAAGTTAATCACATGCACTGTACGCGGATGGACTGCACGGCGGCTGCTCCTTCTGGAAGCACGACATGATTGGCTGCTGTCATATTAAATTAACTTACATTCGGTTAATGGATGGTTATTTCGCCGCAGGGTTTTTTACTATTTGTGCCGAGAAGTTCCCCAGGGGTGCCCAGGCTGCAAGTTGAATCAGTGTTGTGGCCGTGTGACTTCACATGGACCAGCCTGTCATTCTAATACAGGCTGTTTTGCACAGACTGCGCGACATGAGAACATATGTGGGTAGAAAGATCAGTGTTTTTAAAGCAAATACTTTTTTGTTTTTTCTTTCAATGCTGGACAGAATGTAGAAAGGAGCTGACATGTGTTTTAACAAAATGCGTATTTTACTGTGGTACTTTACTTTTTAAGGTAAAGGCGCACTTTATTGATCCCCGTAGGGCAATTCATCTTCTGCATTTGACCCATCCTGATTCCGCTAAGGCTTACGTCAGGAGCAGTGGTCGCCGTAGTAACAGCGCCCGGGAACCCATCTCCAGATGTT